CTTCTCAGAAGATATACGATTTATCAATCATACTGTCTTAATATGCTTTCTGTTKCTATAATGGAACACCCAAGACTGATTAATTTGTGGAGATTTACTTAGCTCAGAGTTTCAGAGATTGGGAAGTCCAAGAACATGATACCAGCATCTGCTCAGCATCTGGCAAGGCCTTCCTGCTGGGTGGTGACCCAGTGGTGGGTACCACATAGTGAGACATAGCAAGGTAGCCAGAAAATGATTTCTTCTATAACAATGCTCCCATGATTATTTATTAATCCATGAATCAATCCATTCTTGAGAATATCCAGAGTGGTCACAGAGCCTTCACAACCCACCTCTGATACCTCACAGTGGGGATTAAACTTCAACAGCAGTTTTGGGGACCATCAAACCATAGCACCAACCCAGTGAGTTTTTCCTTCTTCTTCATTCCCTTATACCTAGTGAGGAAGGGTCTCACTTCCTCAATCAGAACAGGGTCTTTTAACTTGTAGTCTACTGCCACAGAATTTAGAGGTCTATATMTTGGAAGGAACTTTTAAAAGTCATCTTTATTTTCAATAAAAYCTAATTGAAATTTTATTTTATGAATGTATATACAAAATAAAACTTTTTAATACAAATAGTATCTGTAACACTGTCATCAGTAGAAATCAACATCAATTAACATTTTCATATTACATTACAGTGGTTGTAAACCTCTCAAAATATCTCTACTTCATAATCTTGGGAGTTACTTCTTACACCTGCCAAATAAATCATATTATTAAAGGAACACTATATTGTATCAGTGCAGAAACACACTACTAGATTATCACACGTTTATCTAAATAACTTGGTAATTGTATTTTATACACTTACAAATATTTGCCAGATAAGGCCCAAAGTCTTCCCCAAAATGCCAAAAACAAGTACATGGCACAGAAAAGTCAAAGAACTTTGGATTTAATAATTCATTCAATAAATAACTGAACTTCACTGGAAAAAAAATATATTCAGGAAAATAGAAATTCCTTTTATAATATATATGTCCCAAATGCAGTCTAAAATGTAATGGTAATTCTTGGTGATTTTTTTTTCAGACCTCAAAGGAAGATCTTCTACAGGCTGATTTTGAAGGTGCTTTAAAGTTCTTCAGAGTTCAGCTTCCAAAGAGATACAGAGCAGAGGAAAATGCGAGAAGACTGATGGAGCAGGCTTGCAATATTAAAGTAAGATGTGAAGTTTTATATGATAAAGGTATACTTTGAATGCAAAATAACATAACAAATGATGTAAATATCATCTTCTCTATACTGCAGGGTTTTGACTATTTTTAAGGTTKTGTGTGAGCTAATTTTTCAAGACTTTTTATCCAGCCAGTATATATGTGGTTGCTGTACCTTCTAATGGTACTTAAAGTGAAAGTTGTCTGGTTCAGTTTGTAACAATAGGAAGACAAACATTTATCTTATAGGTGGGGCTCCAGAGAGTGCTGCTGTGATAGTGGTTTCCATGGCAGCAGACTTCATATTTTGCTTTTGCCATCTGTTTTAAGATTATTTAGGACAAAGCAAGAAAAGCCTGTTTTAGACGATGCTTTCAGTTCTCTGAGGAACTTAGAAAGTTTAAATCTTGATCTGCCCATTTCTATCTGGTGCCTGCCAAATGCCTACACATACATTGGTCCTGTAGTATGTCTGATAACACTAAACAAATCTTCTAAGTAGTTCAAAATTGAAAATTGTATCTACAAAGTTGTGATATTAGGGCTGGGGATAGAGCTCAGTTGGCAGAGTGCTTGCCACACCTGCACAAGGCCTTGGGTTCAATCCCCAGCACAAAAGAAAAGGGGAAAGGGGAAAGGAAGTTGTGATATAAAGTGAGAATGCACACTTTTAAAAGATTTGGAGCCAGTTTACCAACATTGATTCTTATACCTCTGAAATATACTAAGGGACCTTCTTACCTAAAATAAATTTGTTTGCATTCTCACTTTAATATCACAACTTTGTAGATAGAGTTTTCAATTTTGAACTCCTTAGAAGATTTGTTTAGTTTTAACAGACATACGGCAGGGACCAATGTATGTGTAGGCATTTGGCAGGCGCCGGATAGAATTGGGCAGATCAAGATTTAAACTTTCTAAGTTCCTCAGAGAACTGAAAGCATCGTCTAAAACAGGCTTTTCTTGCTTTGTCCTATATAATCTTAAACAAATGGATAGACATGTCTTATGGAACTTACATTCTTGCTTGAAAAAAATGGACACCAAATAATTAACATAATAAATTAATTTAATACTTTTGAAGGTGATAAATAGTTGTAAAAAGGGGAAAGATCAGGGTTGGATTGGTGGAGTGGGGAAGGTTGTGGCTGTTCTTGGTTAGTCAGTGTTGTCCTCACTGAGAAGATGAATGAGACAGGAGATAGGGGTTACTGGTAGAGCTGCCCTGGGGAAGAATATTCTAGGCAGACACAGCTGCCAGTACAAAGACCCTGAGGCTGGCTCAGGCCTGGTGGGTTTGAGAAATAGGAAGAAGGTCAGTGTATCTGTAGTAAAGTAGATGAAATCAGAGAAGTAGAATAGGAAGTCAGTGTGCTCACCAGGGGACAGAAATTGTGATTATTATAAGGACTTAGACTATATTTTGAAATGGGGAGCCCTCGAAGAGTTTGAATGGAAGAACGATAGGCTCTGTCTGAGGTTCTCAGAGGAGCACAATGCATATTTTGTTAAGAACAGGCAGAAAAAGTAGGGAGATCAGACAGGAGGTTTTGCAGTAATCCCATTGATAGATGATGACAGATTGAATCAGAGTGACCACCCTGGAGATAGAGATGAAATGGAGATGAAGATGGTTGGCAACAGGGTGAATCTTGAAAGAAACCAACAAGATTTTATGGTGTGTTAAATGTGGATATGATAATAAAAGAACAATCAAGGCAATTCCATAGATTTTTAACTGAGCAACTAAACATAAGAGTTGCCATCGATTTATTAAACTCATCACAGAAACTGTAGTTACATGAGCTTAATAAATAATTGAGAGAGACTTCTCTTAATTACCATAACCACTATAACACTTTCATGGGGTAATGCCTTTGTTTTGAGTTTTAACCTATTTTAAAGTACATTGTAAATGTTAACACACACACACACACACACACACGCACACAGTTAAATGCTTTGAAAGTTAACAACTGAGCAGGGAAAAAATGTTATTTTGTCTTTTCTAATGAAACCTATATTCAAAAAGATCATTTTCCAAGTGTATCAAAAAAGACCTCTGAAGATACAAACTCCTTAAAGCCTTCAAGTGTGATGATTGATTTGGCTGGGCCACATATCTAAGCCTAAACCACATCTGTGTGTAGATTTTGGAAGTGTATTCCAGTGGCCATGGTTTCTTTGGTTGAATTTTGTAGGAGGTAATTTTGAAAGTGAGCTTCAGCCACTGATTGCTTCAGAGATGGCAGGAGAAGTGTGAATTGGGGTGATGCTGTAGAAATCTATTGAAATAAAACATAATTTCTAAGAATAAAAGAGTGAGAACTAAGATGTCCAGGTAAGGTGAAAAGTTAAATGTTTTCTAGGAAATCAAATACTATTGACAATTGATTAAGAACAAAAACTCAGGCAACCAATCCAAAAATATGAAATGTATAAGGAAAGATTTTTTTCTCAATATAACTTATGAAATTTCTCAGAGAAGGTAGCTAATAGTTGACAATCCAGAAATATGAGATCTAAAAGATACAGAAACACAAAACATTAGAAAATAAGTCAAAATATGAACCCAGTAGACCATTGCAGGAAAGGAAGTATCTTCCAACCAGMATGATTTATTTGGACATCACTAGGTATATATGAGTATTTTTAAAAAGGTTTGAATAAGATTTTAATAATTAAAAATCTTAAATAATTTAATAATTGTACAATGTATGAATAACGTTTTGTTGGGTTTGGGTTTTGTTTTTGTTTTTGTTTTTCTATATTATCTAAGGTGAGTGTCTATTTCTTAGCTATTTCTATTTCTTAACATCCTGTAGGTACCATTTTAATTCACAACATGATTGTAGAGTGGATGATTGTGAGGCTGATGTGACATGAAACTGTAGAAAGACACATATTCAGGGAKTGGAACATTGGCCGCCCCACTACGTTTCAAACAGTTTTTTAAACCAAGACCTACATTTTGAAACTGCTTTTGCATTCCAGACCTGAGCCATAGATAGGTGCACGTATACACTCATACATCCCTGGAGAGATTTACCCCTACATTGTTTGAGGCACTCTGATGCGTTGTGTTTTACTGTATTGTGTTGTRTTTTATTTCAAATTTCTCTCCTCATCCCAAGAAAGTCCCCAAACCAAAAAGCTAATCACAACCCACTGAACTGAATTTATAGTAGCTTATTGTTTTTTTTAAACTAATATGTATCCTATATTCCACGGTTCCTACCACCTCCCCCTCCCTATTCTGATTTACTGCAACTAATGAATCTGTGAACAGTGAGGGGTTCCAATGAATGGGGAAGGATGAGAGTCATCTCACCATCATCATAGTGGTGTGCAGTTGGAAAGTTTAGGAGATGGCAGACTTTCAGGTAGAGGCTAAGTGTTAGATAAAGCATTCTTGGACCGAGTTCTAGACCAGCCTGGGCAACTTAGCAAGACCCTGTCTTGAAATAAAAAATAAAAAGGGTGGGGATATAGCTCAGTGGTAGAGCACCCCTGGGTTTAGTTCCCAGTACCAAAGCGGGGGGGGGGGGGCATTGAAATAAACAAAGATGGCAGAGGCTCTGAGTAGGGGGAATGAGGAGGGCCCTAGTGGCAAAATGCTACACCTAACCTGGAATCTTCCTCTCTCACACCAAAATTGTCTTCCTCCTCCATTCCAGAAAGGTAGCTGCCAATGACACACTGTTGCTATGGTAACTACTAGCCTCAGAAAATTCTAAGTCGTGCTCCAGCTCAGTTACCTGTACACAGTGCTGAACAATTTCCCACTCTCCCAGAGTGGATGAGTACAGTTCCATCTTACCCTTCACAGTTGATGGTTTTAATGGGATAGTGCTGAATCCCTTTTCAACACTTTCCTTTTTTCCCCTTCAAGRCCTCCTCCCATACTTGTAACCATGGATTTGAATTATTTGAAAATAACTTTCACTCTAGAGAAAAACTACGAAGAACTTTGATATTTAAAGCAGTTTGCTTCTCCTTGCTTCATGCTGCTTGCTGCTTATCACTGGCCATTGTTTGGTCTGTGAACAAGGACGCTGTCTCCCAAATGGATTCTTTATTTGAATTAGCAGTGAAGCCACACAGAAGCTGTTGTTGACTCCACGCATCTAAAATGTGAACCCTCATGTGCATCACTGAAAAAGTTTATTTTGATGAAAATGCACTTAGTGTTCCTTTCCCAAAAATACCTCTGTACATTGATAGCCACACTTCAGGTATTTAGACGTCATTAAGTCTAACTTCTTAATCTGCTGCTGGAGAAATGTTAATTGTGCTGTAGGATTCAGTGATGTGATCATTAAGAAACTGATGATGAAGTAGTTTCTATATCAACACCTTTTCCCTTTTTCCCTTAGAGGCTTCTGTTAGTGTTCACGATCCTCAGAGTATATTAGATTTAAGAATTGTTTTTTCTCACTGAGCAAGGAACACRTTAGTGTTGGAGGTGCTCTGAAACAGCTGACCACAGGTGGAKAAGATTGGCTGCAGCTCTAGGTTCCCAGAACCTGGCACCCTCCACGTTTAGGAAACAGCTTTTATACTGTACTGTTCCTAGCCAGCTGGAATGCACTCATCACCTTTCTTTGCTTCTTCTATTTTTTCTCTACCCTTATGCCTACTTCTTTCTGCCAGTCATTTTCTGCAAGTCCATTGAAAAGAAAACGATATAGACATTTTTAAATTAACTTGATGGGTGAACTGTGTATTGTATCATAAACTGTTCTACATATGAGTCATTAAATTTTCCTTCCCTAAAGAAAAATAAGATAAATGGATGAAAAAAATGATTTTTATATGGGTTTATCTTTTATTAGAAAGTGGTAAATAGTAAAATAACATAATATAGGAATAAAGCTTTATGCCCTTATCTACATTCCAAAATTGGTGCTACATACTTTCCACACTTAATTCACACAAAAAGGAACACCAGAGTTGCTACCCCACTTAGTATTTTCTCTTTCTTCAAAAATTTCARTGTATTTT